AACACATGAAACCGCCGTCTTATTCCTTCTCATAATCCCTGGAACAAAACACCTAATTGACAGCATTAGGTTGACACTGTCAGAGGGTAGCTCTTAAAGTGTAATGCGTAATGCATAATGAAAATACACAGCGTTGCTAAATTGCATTTTTGGTATTAAAAATGATAAATGGCAGCCATTTGGGGCATATTTAGAGTGAAGCCTCTTCTCATAGCACACTGCCAGATCTAATTTTTCCATATTTCTTAATACATTTGTGGTGTCAGTAATATTAAAAGCTCGTTTCTGTGAAGGAATATTTAATAAACCCTCTGTGTGATAGGAAGCCAATGTCAAACAGACCGACAGGAAGCAAGTTTGTGGTAGGTTGAATAGTCAACCTTCCCACTCCCCTCCCACTGTGACACTGGCTGGTCCTGTGACCTGGGTGATAAGATGTGGACTGCCCCCCACTGGAAAGGGGTCAATACTGCAGCAAAGGTTTAAGAAGTGCCTCTCACAGTTCAGTGCACTATTCAAATTGCATCCCACATCAGAGCATTTTGACTTTCCTCAAAGTAAAAACTCAATCTGAATGCAACCTGTTTTGCAAAAGTGTGGCTTTGCATTGGCAATTTTTTCTGATGGCAGAACAGAAAAGCAATGAATAAGGTAAGGGATGTAGGTGGAAGAATTGTGTAACTTCCTTTTTAAAGTACTCAGTGGTCTCTAGGGAGGAGTGACCTCATGACAGCTAGGAAATAAATGTTGATTGCATTAAAGGAATTAGTGCTGATACTACATACCATAAAGGAAAAGTGAAATGGGAGTTACTGTGCTTCCTTCAGTCTAGGTATGGCTAAAATTAATTTAAAATGAATACCAATATTAACCTTTTGTCTTTTATAGGTGTGCCGGCTTTTGTTTGAATTGATATATCTGCTGATGGACTTAAAGGTTCAATAGCATAAAAATATTCCAAATAGTCTGCATGATTGGATTGAATTGATAATAGATTTTTCTGAAAAGTGCCTTGAGATGACATTTATTCATTGGTGCAATAAAAATAAAATGAATTCAACTGGAAAGCCTCAATGCATATATCATATTTGGAATTTTCAAGAATTTGTTTGAACTTTTCTATTCCGATTGCAGAGGAAAGTTACACTTCCTACACCAATATAGGAACGGGCTGCACAGTGGCGCAGTTGGTAGCACTGTTGCCTTGCAGCAAGAAGGTCCTGGACTATTCTTTCTGCACGGAGTTGGCATGTTCTCCCTGTGCATGCGTGGATACTCCGGCTTCCTCCCACAATCCAAAAACATGACTGTCAGGTTAGTTAGTCTCTCTAAATTCTCCCGAGGTGTGTGTGAGTGTATGTGTGCTTGTCTTTTCTGTCTATCTCTTCCCCTGCGACAGACTGACAACCTGTCCAGGGTGAACCCCGCCTCTTGCCCGGAACGTTAGCTGGACATAGGCACCAGCACCTCCCGACCCCACTAGGGACAAAGATGTCAGAAAATGGATGGATATAAGAACTGGATGCGGAACTTCAAATTTATTGTGGAATTTCTTTCTCAGATGTTGGACTTTTAAGAATTTATTTAATCTTTTCTTGTTTCTGTATGAACTTACATCCTGAATTTTAAACATACAGGTTGAATGCAGAAATGTACATTTATTATGATCTTTTTTTTCTAATCCACACAAATTGAAAATACACATGAAAGGCTTAAATATATGAACCAAAATTTATTTAAATTTTCCTTTGAAAGTTTCCCTTCAGTCATATGCTTTTTATAACTATCAGCAAGTTTCTTGCATAATTCTGGCTGCTCCTCAGATGACTCTTTTACTGACACTGGAAATGATAAGCCTCATTATAGAGGATTTCTGCTACTCATTTTTCAAGCAAAGTCCACACATTTTCAGTTAGTATTAGTTCAAAGTGATTCTGAGGCCATTAAGATGGCTTGCATAAACTTTCTAAAATTAGTTTTCTTGTTTATTTGGCCTCATTGTCCTGTCGGAACATTTGGTGATGGTCATATTTCAAGCACAAATTGCCATCCACCAATGAAAGGAAATTGGACAAAATGCTAAATACTGGTCCAGGAATCACCAAGGCCCAAGTTGAGCATGTAATGTAAACTGTTTTTCTTTTTTCTCAAGAAAGCCCAGGTTAACTCCAATTACATGAATTGATCTAACACATACAAAAAATCAAAAATTATACAAAAATTATAATATTTTTTGTCTTTGCTAAAATGTTTTTTGTTTTTCCTGGGCTTTTAAAAACTATATTAAGACTTATAAAACTTAAACTATTCTGTGTGTCTTCATGTTTTTGCATGAGTCAAACAAAGTTGGACTGGAAGCTAGAGGAGAAACCGAGTTGGGCATGCGTTCGCAAATTGGCCCAGATGTGTGGGCATATTTTAACTCCAGGAGGCATTTAACCTGCTCCCAAAGAGCAAAAAGTAAGCACCAGGTGGTGAAAGGAATAACCTTTTGTCTCATTGTTTTGCTTACTCTTAGTTAACTCTCAGTCACCACAAAGTCACTACTTTTTGTATGGAGCAAGTAGCACAGCAAGCACAATAGTATCTTGATCTAAACTTTGAAATGACCTCTGTCTGAAAATGTGTGTAACATGTGGGAAATAATCCTAGATGAATTGTACATTGACAAACTGGTTAAACCCTGGATGTCAAACTATAATTTCATTTACTAGAATGATTACACGATTGCAACTTTGAATATAAACATATCCACGGTCATGAAACAGTGTTTTGGTACAGTAGTAGATTGTGATTTTGATCAATCGCTTGTGTAAAGAAAGTGTTTTAAAGCTTAGCTCATTGAAAATAATCTCTCAGGTTTCTTTAAGCCTATATCTGATTGGAAGTTCATACCATCATTAAAACTACTTTTTAGGAAGCATCTGCAGGTTGGTCGAGATCCTCCAACTTTTAGATGTGTCTCTGCTTCAACACCCGACACCTCTGGTCCAAGGGATCAAAGAGGCCTACTCACCTTTGAGATTCATTTGTGCTTATTATTTTTGCTTGCTTCATGCACTTAGCTTTTTTGTCTGAATGTAGAGCTGTAGAAGATTCCAATTAACTTTCATCTACCTGGGACCCATTTCCAGCACTACACAGTAGCTTCCTATCATTATCTAAAACACTCATTTCCTGTTCTGTTCTGCTGGGTCTAGTGCTAGAAGCTTACTAGCCGAGGTGTAAATAAATTTAAACATATTGAATTTATTCTGCCTTTCATTTCTTATTTAGACTCAGAATAAAATTAGGCTGCAAACTCTTCTTTAATCTTCTGAGAGACCATAAAGTGTTTATAATGCCAGATCTTCTATTTAGGTCAGTGGAGTTCAGAGTCTGGGGTCAATACCACTGATGTTTTAAATCATTTTCTGGCTAAATACAACTGGATGAAATAGGAATTAAGCAGAACTTAATAATGAGGAGCAAATTCTGCAATTTGAATAAAATGTGTTGCAGAAGGAACACATGAGGAGGGGAGTAAGGCAATTCCTGTTTCAATGATATTTTGAATGTTCCATTATCTGTTAAAATATCTTTCACTTTTAATAGAATCCATGCAGAATTTTTAAACCAAATAACCCAGGGGCCATTATGGGTCCAAGTTGAATAATTTTAACTACTTTATGTTTGATATTTTTCCCTGTGTTTGTGCTAATGGAATGAGATTTTTCAGACGTCAGTGGTTTGGTCAAGGTTAAAAAATGGCCACTTCTCATTATAGTTCAAAAATTACTCTTCAAATATGACCCTCTGCTCGGATAGAAATTAAAACAAAATTTTTCAAAAAAACGTTGCCATTATATAACATATGACGTATGATATCTGCATATCTGTGACCACCTTTTTAATTTGCTACTCTGGGATCAGATGGGATATTTTTTTCTGCAATAAAATCAAACATTCAACCACCAGTCTGTAGCATGGTCAATGTAGGGGTCTAATTTGAGGAGCTCAATGATATTTTTCTCTCTTCTTTTGGTATTATTGACTATAAATAAAATCTATAACTGAAAAACAAATAGTCTGAATAAACTGCAAGCATATCCCAAATACCGCAAACATTCCACCCTGCCCTCAAGAAATTACATTCTGTTTATTTGTGATTAAATATGGTGAGCTAATTCAGCTAATATAGATGGCATCTTTCTCATCAGTCTACAGCAATATCCTATCTTATTTGAAAATTATTAAATGGAATAATGGGGATAAAAAACAATATGTCAGGCCATTTTTGCGATTGAGTCTTACTTTGAACATTTTGACATTGCCATTGATTATAATTTTGCTTTGCAAGAATGAATACAGGTTCAAAATGCTGCAGTCAAAATATTCTTCTTGACACCAGCCTTTAAACGAGGAAAATTAATGAAGAGGAAAGTCATTCCCAAAGAGCTGCACATAAATAAAGCAAGATTGTTAATTAAGTCAGTTCTAGTTCTGTATAATTTCAGTGCTCCACAAGAAAAGCACAACAGCATGCCGACACTTCCAAAATGAAACTATATCTTATCGGACCCTGATGAGGTCTGGCCAAGTGCAAGGAAGCCACCGATAAGTAGTAGTCAGCTCTATTTTACTTATGATACCAATAAATCCCAGAATTTATCTCTGCTGTTTTCAGGGTGACAGGTGCAACACAGCCGAAGCACGAACTCATGGGGGGTCTCGGGCGTCTTGTGCCAACCAATGGGACGGCGCACCATGCTGGAGTCCAGTGGAGTTTGGGGTGATCGTCGGGCACCTGTGCCAATCAGGGCGCGGGTGGGAGGAGTTCGGGGACTTGGAGGTGTGTCTCGAGAATGAGAGTCTGCAGCTGCATATTGTGTCTGAGACGCGGAGTAATGGTATGAGTACAGTGCTTTACGCAATTTTTTTTTTTTGGCAAGCTTTGGGTTTTCAGTGCGTGAGTGAGAAGCTGATTTTCCACAATCTCTGTTCTTGCGTCAGTGACAAATTAAGCCAGAAGGCACAACAGAGACGACGCAAAGAACAGTTGGACAAACTGTAAACTTGTGCAGAAGCAGCCACAAAGTGCTCACAAACTCGCAGTCTGAGGAGCCGTCAAAAAACGCAAAGCGACTCATCCTTTCTTGCTGTGAATGAGGGATACTTCGCTGGACATGTGAATTTAAAAGGAGATACCTGCCAAGCACAACAATGAAGCAAACGTCTGTCCTGTGTTGCCTCGGCTTTCTCCTGACAAGCGTCTTGTTTGGGGTCGTCTCTCCACAATCAGGTGAGTAAAAGCCAAGTGCTTGCCACCCCCCCTTTTCCCGGTGTCTCGTTGGAGCTGGTAGGTGAGAATCGAGCGCAGCAGCAGCAGCAGAAACGTGCTTACTTTTTTCTCTCTAAATCAGTTCAGTTTCTTGTTATACATAAGCAACACTATGTCCATGTATTCGTTTGGTCTGAAACAACAGCAACTCCAGTCTCTCTGCTCCGCTGAAGCGCGTGTTGGTCTGAGCAGATGGCAGCTCGTTGCTTTGAGCTACTTGCATGTGATGAACCTAATCGAGTGACTTGCTGTTCTTCTTTTACAAAGCTGCACTGTTGAAATGAGGGCATTTGATGTCCGTCACACGCGTCCTTTACGCGAAGGAAATGCGCAGCGACGGACAAAGTTGCTGCTGCTCCTGTGGATCAGCAGGCTGTCAAAATGCGCAACTGTCGCGAAAGTTGCTATGATACCCCGTTGTTTTCTACCCTTCCAGATTGATTTGTCCCAGATAATTGGGTGTGAGACATCCTTTTCTGTTTCCTAATTAACTGGACGAAGGTTTGCAAGACAGCAGGTTTCACATGCAGCAGCTTTTTGCTCTGCCAGCTTTGTCAGACAAAGGACCTCCGCAACTTACTTCTGCATTGATTGCCTCTCATGAGTCTCATGTTGTCGTGTTAGTGTTTTGCTGCGTAACTCTTTAACCCGCCCAACCATATGCAGTCTTTAACGGGCATTTAAAAAAAACTAAGCTGGGAAAAATCAGTTATTTTTTTCTTCCTCCCCGTCGCTTCCCTCAGGCATTCTGTTGACAGCCAGTATTTCCGCGCACATGCAGGGCTTCCACTCTTGACAGTGGAAGTACTGTTTGTACAGTGCAATGACGCTCTTTACACACAGGGCGGCATAAGGTGCACTCAGTGATGTGCTCCTGATGGAGATGAAACAGGCTAAAGCGCCATCATAATCATGATTATCATAATGCATAATTATATTTTGGTTTCGATATAAAAAAAAAAGAAAAAAAAAAAACGAGAAAATCAAGCTCGGACTGAAATGAAATACTTGCAAAAGACAGGAGTACAAGTACATTTGCTTCTTTCCGCTTCCTGGGTGTTGATTTACTATTTAGTAGGAATTAATTAGGAATGAAGATGCATAATTACAAAGATGCACGCTAAATACAAAAAAAGTACTGTTTGTCCATCCGAGTGATTATATAGGAACATATATATATATTTGTTCCTGCAATACCAATTTGTTCTTGTGATTTCTATTTATTCATTCAAAATGTATGTCCTTGTTCTTCAAGTAAGTTTAACATTTTAACTTTTAAAACTGTGGGAGAGTTAAATTGAAGGAGTGAAAGTAAAGAAGTAAATCCTCGCAAGTTTACACTAAGAACTCTTGCTGGACCTGTGCCTTGAAATCCAAGTATATATGCTTTTGTACGTCTCGCATTTTCTCAATGTCGTTTTTGTGTACAAACAAATGGAGTAAGGCACATATTAAATTTGTGTGGAAGAGTGTCGGAACTTCTACCCACCCGTGTTCCAGCAGCGGAACCCAGGATTAGGAGGGAGAAGACGAGAATAATTCACTTTCACGGTGAAGCAAAAACTCTCTGCCATTCCGCCAGCAGAACTCCAAATTATGTAAATGTGCTTTGCAAAAGCAAACAAAAAAACAAAACAAAACAAAAAAGCAGTAAAGGCGACACAAAAGAGAACTGCAGACAAACGCAGGAAGAACGGATTATACAAATATCAGTGCGAGAATTGGCATAAACACGGATTAACTTCTGTCTGTTGGAAAAAAGGAGAAGGCAATTTCCTTTAGTGTGCGTGAGCGCGAGCAAAACGCGCGCGAACGACTTCCTTGTGCTGAACTGAACTGCATGCTCACGCGCGTCTTTCAGAGGGTTTTTTTCTTTATTTATTTCATTGTTTTGAGGTTTTCTTTTAATGAATGCTTTTGTCTTTCTTAATGAGCCATAATGACAAATTAATGTTAAAAATCCTTCACCATTGATGTTGCTTTAGTGGTTCTTGTCTTCAAAGTGCCACCTTTTTATGGACTTGCGGTTGTAACTGGTGTCACAAATGCGTAGCATATGCATTTATGTTTTCAGGAATAACTTCTGTAGAAAAAAACTCAAATTTCGGTGGCACTCTGGGCAGAATTTTCTGATTATTGTAGTGCATGATAGAAAATATTTTCCTTGACGATCAAAAAGTTTATATAAACAATGAAAGCACTTTCAATAAAGTACTTTTTAAAAACTTTTCCCTCCCCTTATGCTATATTTATTTATTTTTATTGTAACTCAGTAAAGAACCTGTGTACTAAGAGAAGAAAAAAAAAATATCTATACATTTTGTCCAAGTTTTTGTGACCAATAATATATCCAAATATCCAAATCGGGTTTGTTCAGATGAGGAAATTCTGATTGCCTTTTTTGAAGCCAGCTGAAATGCTTTGTGTAGCAACAGGTAGGGAAGGGTCGGTGTTGCTTTACTATGTGCCCCATAAAGGGACACAGAGTAAATCAGACCTTCTAGTATAGCATTAGAAAAAAAAACATCAGACCTCAGGAATAGTATGAAGATATTAGTGGGTTTGAAAGTCTATCTTTTTAAAACCTAAAGTACAAAAGTATACTAGCAACCTGACTGTATATTAGAGGTAAAGTTTTGAGTGTCTGACTATACTCCTACAACTAAGTTGGGGATTTCAGGTTGGCTAAGTCAACTAGCCAATCAGTGTGTGCAGGTGCCAAGTTATGATGTGAAATGAAATTGGCATGTCCCTAGATTTTGTAGACAAAAGCACAAACCACAAATTTTCTGGTAGACAGCTATGCTGACTTAAAAACTGATAAAACTCAATCTCAATTGATTGTCACTCACTCTAGAAGCCTCATGCCGAAGCAAATTTGGTTCTGTGCCTCTCCACTTTTCTTTTCTTTCTGAATGAAATGCTAAATCTACTTTCATTCGAAGCTTTTAGTGTTATGAGCAACAATCCGGTCCCATTGAACTGGCTTTGTTTTAAAAACTGCTTGTCCATGTTGTGAGTGCAGCTTTTCTTCTCTACATGTTTTCCTACCACACAATTTTCAACTGAAATCTGAGTTATCGTTAGTATAAGGTAATGATCAAAATGACATAAAAGCACTTGAAAAATATCACCCTGTGCCATAAATATAATATAATTTTGGGGTTTCACTTTTTGAATCAAATTACTAAAATAGACAAGACATCCAAACAGTGCTAATTTATGTCATTTTTTACGGATAGCATGTATAAAACTGGCATGTTTGTAATTTCCTGGCAAGATGTCTTGTGGCCCCTGGGCAAGGACGAAGCTTAACTAGGGCCAGAGTCTCTGACCAGCCCCGTTTTCTGCTGTTATAGAGTACTGTGTCTGTAGTGTGCTGAATATACATACCACACGGGTCTCTGTGCAGCGTACAACTCTTCATTTGACTGCAGCTGTAATCTGGAACGATAGGAGCTCAGGAATGAATATAGCTGCCATTTTCTCGTTCTGAAAAAAAATATGTGTGTATGAATGTTTATACAACCCATATAAAAGTGGATTTGCAGGTCCCCAGGTGTGTGCATTGCTTGTTCAAACCATGTGATCAAATCAATATAGACAAACTGTTATCTTTAAATCATTCTCACTGACGGCCTTCAGCCAATTCATGTTTCCTTCAGCTGATTGAAAAGGTGGATGGTCAATGTAGTTGAAGAACCTTTCAGTTGTTTCAGCGATTATCTCATGGCTGCACTCACTGGTTGTTGGACAGAAATTGACAAGGCATTTCCACTATCCGGGTCCATTGTATATCAAAATATGTGCGAGGTTTTGGGCACAGCAAAAACGAGGGGAAACTGGAGATTTTTTTTCTTTTCCTGTTCTCAGTTTTTCTGGTCCCACAACAAAGACTGAGGCGTCTTGTATGCTTTTCTGTTTTGTGTGTTTTCTTCTACCAGTTACTGCCAGGCGAAAGAATGGTAATACATTTAGTGGCCTACACAGCTCGACTTTGTCACAAAGCCCTCTTACAGTCATATCTGCTGTCGCTTGTTAAAGGAGCTTTGACCCTGTGCTGACACTAGGCTTTATATTAGAAGAATGGCAGCCTTTGATTAGGTACCAATTCACTTCCATTTGTAGAGAAAAGGAATGTGAACCTTTGTGTTTTTGTCCCTTATATTAAATATGAGGAGGAACATTTGGCAGTTGGTCCTTTTTTATAAAAGACATTTTCTTCTTAATTTGATCGAAATCCCGGTAAAAAAACAAATATTCTGTTAACACCTCATGGGTGACAAGACGTTATTATTTAGAATGCGTGAAAAGCATATAAAATATAAGCCTTTGGATTTTTGCTTTTCAAAGCTGAAGATTTGTCGACTTTTCTTCTTCACAAGAATGACAAAACTAAGACAGACCGTAATTTATTATGTTAGTCTTCTCTGGGGACTTCACTCTTCAGCCAGATAAAATGACTGAAAAAAAAAACAAAAAACAACTTTCTGGATGAATAATCCACACAGGAGTCAATATGAGAGGGGTGAAAACCACAGGGCTCTCTGTAAATCTTCACTGTCTTAAAAATGTATTGATGACACCCAGTTTGATAGTCTGAAGGGCAGGGAAGGATAAAATATTTCTTTGTCAATAACGTTTTCTTATGGGAGTTTGATTTAATGTGTAGATATAATTTTAAGTACTATACTATTAAATCACTGCTATCAATAATAACACCACAGCAACTTTCAGCTTAGTTTCTATCGCCATTATCCAACAGCCTCTCTCTGATTATAACAAAATTCTTAATTTATTTCACTGATTATTTTATTAAGAGCTCTTATTCCTCCTTTCACTACTGGATTTGGTTTGGACCAGTTGTCTCAAATTAAATATGACAGATGATGACCACGTGTTCTTAAAGAAGATCACTGGTTTGACTTTAAGACACTGGTTATAAAGAGGTGACCACCTCT